AGCACTTCCAGAAAGAAATAGAAAAATCCTCCATTTGGCTTTAAAGCTCTTCACAACCCGAACTCTTCCTACCTTTAAATCTTCCTGTCCTCCATATACCCATCTCCCAACTTCATGCCTTTTCACTGGATGTCCTTCGTAGCTGGAGGGTTCTCCTTCCTCATCTCCACCTCCTGGCTTCCTTCAACTCTGCTCAAATCTCCCTTTCTTCGGGGAAAAAATTATATGTACATATATATAGATATAGATAGATAGAGGGCACAGGGTGAGTTGAAAATGAAGGGGTCATATCTGGAGAATAAAATTAAGGGGTGAGAGAGGAATATACTAGGAGAAGGAGAAAGGGAGAGGTAGAACAGGGTAAATTATCCCACAAAAAAAAACCCAGAAAAGAAAAGGCTCTTACAGTGGAGGGGAAATGGAGGAAGGTGAGAGGGAATGAGTGAATCTTATTCTCATAGGATTTGACTTAAGGAGGGTATAACATACATACTCAATTGGGTGTGGAAATCTGTCTTACCCACAGGAAAATAGGGGGGGAAGGGGACAAGAGAGTAGGGGAATGATAGAGAGGAGGGCAGATTGGGAAAGGGAGTAATCAGAAGCAAATACTTCTGAGGAGGGTCAGGGTCAAAAGAAAGAATAGAATAAATGGGTGGGCGGGATAGTATTAAGGGAAATAGAGTTAGTTTTTTACAGCATGTCTACTATGGAAGTGTTTTGCATAACTGCATATATATATAACCTATATTTAGTTGCTTGCCTTATCAATGAGGGTGGGTTGGGAGGGAGGAAGGGAGAAAATTTGGAACCCAAAGTTTGAAAAACACAGGTTTAAAAAAAAATGTTTTCACATGCAACTGGGAAATAAGAAATACAGGAAATGGGGTACAGAAATCCATCCTGCCCTACAGGAAAATTGAAGGGGAAGGGGATAAGAGAAGGGGGGGAGAGATAGAAGGGAAGCCAGACTAGGGGAAGTGAAGAGGTTTACCTACAATTCCCAGAAAAACCTTAAACCTTTTAGATTCCTTGTAGACTCACTTATCTCTCTTTGACAAAAAGAACCTGCCTTCAGTTTTGTTTACCGGTCCCAGGAAACCCTTAAAGTTTTGGAAGCTGCCTTATTTCCCTTTGAAAGCAAACTTGCCCCCCTTTCAGCTCCCTTCATTATGTATTCTCATTGTCTGTTCCAATCACTCAGACATTCCAAACAGAAATTCTCACCTGGACCCTTTTCCAAACCTCCCCCATCAACTGGCTTTCCCATTGTTTTGCCTTCCTGGCCATTCCCACCCTTAATCCTAGCTAGCCAGTGTTCCTTTCTCCCCAGCTTGCTGGCCACCCTTATCCAGATCTCTCTAGACCCCTCCTCCCCTCACCCCAAACTGCTTTTCCACTCCTTGGACCCCTCCTCCCATCACTCCAAGCTGCTTGGCCCCTCCCCAATCAGTCTGTACAAAAGGCTCACCTGTCCCCCATTCTGATGCTGAGCTGTTCTCAAGCTTAGAAGCTGAGACCCCTCATGCCCGCAGGGCGTCACCTGGCCTATCCACCCCAGCCCTCACTCAGACTCTGAGTTTTCTAGACTTCCTCATGCTGCTTGTCCTTGTGAGCATCATCTGACCACCTTAACCCTCATTTAGATCACTGATGTTTGGGTTCCTTTGGAGTCTGGCCTACATGCTTATCTTTAATAAACTTGTTCTCTGGCTGGAAGAAGATCTGAGTTGAATTCATTCAGGCAGATCTGCGCCGTGATTTGGGCTTTTTCCCACGATCTTGGGGTGCCTCTGTGCATCTAAGAGTACCCCAAACCACCCCCCTTCAGAAGGATAGTGGTGCCCTCAACAGAAAGAGGGAAGGTTGGATTTGGGGGTAAGATCATGAGCCCCAAGGCTTGCCTGGGGGAGGGGCATTGCACAGAGGGGTATCATCCTGCAGGTGATGCATGGCTTCTGGGCTTGGTTGCTTCCCCATTTCCTTGGGCTCACCTGCTGGCCCCTCCTCTGAGATGGCCACCTCTCATCCAGCTAGAAGAGCATGTTCATTGCCCTCACCAGCTCCTCAGGGCAGGGATGGATGACTGGGAGGCAGTCTTGGGGGCTGATCCCTCAACTCTCTGTCCTCACCCTGTCTGTATTAACCTGGACAAGCCACTAAAACTCCCAGTGCTCTAGGTCACTCTCTGAGAGTATAAAGTTTCTGAGAAGCGGTCAATCACATTTGAGAGAGGGATTTTCCTCCTCTGGGAGTTCCCCCCACATCAATCACACATCCACGCCCTATCCCTATTGTTATCCTAACAAGTACCCTGCTCTTAGCTGCCTGGACTCACTCAGATGCTGCAGGTCCCCTGGGTGATGCTCATCATGGAGACTTGCAGCATCCTGGGGCCGTGAGCATCCCCAGGCCTCTCCTGAAACTCTGCTTCCCAACTCTCAGGCTCCCCAGCTGCCCCTGCCCCTAGTTTCCTACAACAGAAGCCCAGTCAGGTGCAAACAGGCAGGCTGCCTTCTAAACACCAGCTGTCACTGTCCCACATGGGCCCTTTCTGAGCATTTGGGCAGAAATTCGGCTCAGACCAACATCTTATGCAGCCATCACTTCCATCATCTCTTCTAGAATTTTGTCAGCAGTCAGAGCTACACTCAATGACTTAGAGTTGGCAGACGCTATTCTCTGCCCTTTTGGGAAAATCAGGTGGGCCTTTGGCCTTCTCCAGTCCTGGGGTACCTCTCCTGATCTCCACAAGCTTTCAAATGTCACTGACACTTAGCTGTTCAGCCATCACACCTGCCAGTTCTTTCAGTACACAAGGGTGAGGTTTGCCCTGGAGAATAACTGGCAGGGGCAGCTAGGTGGCACAGTGGATAGAGCACCGGCCCTAAAGTCAGGAGAACTTAGTTCAAATCCAGCCTCAGACCAAACCCCTGACACTTACTAGCTGTGTGACCCTGGGCAAGTCACTGAATCCTAATTGCCAAATAATAATAACAATAATAACTGGCCACTGTGTATGGGTCCCTGCTGCCTCAACTTCAGGGCTCTTCTTCCTTCCCTGGAATCTCCCTCACCCCAGCCTACCCCTCTCTACTTCCTCTCCCCTATTCTCTTCTACTCCCCTTCCTCTCTCTTCCCCTCCCCTCTCCTCTGGCAGCAGCTCACACCTGCCAGTGCTCACCCTAATGTCACATAAAGTTCACCTGGGCCAGCTGACTTGACGTCTTCAACGGCAGCTGGGCATTCTCTTACCATCCCCTCACTTGGCTTTCTTTGCTGCCCCTTAGAGACCATTTTTGTTCTATGTTTCCCTGACCAGAGGCCACTGGGCAGAGAAAGTGGAATAAAAGTCAAGGAGTAACCTCTCCATCTTCCATTAATTATCACCATCCTATCCATCCTGGGCTGAGTTCTTGGCCTTTCTCATTCTTCCTTTCTCCATAATAGAGGTAAGGACACTTTTTCACAATACCTTAGTTTTCTTACCAGCTTCAGCTCCTTCTGAACTTTAGGGGGCCTGCCACTGTTGTGACAGTATGCTGACAGGCTTTGGTATTCATGAGACAATGGGGAAATCAGAAAGTGCACTGGACCTGAGGTCAGAAGAAAGGTGTGTCTGAATCCCACCTCTGACACTTCCTAGCTGTGTGACCATAGGCAAGTCTCTTGACCTCTCTGGGCTTCAGCTTCCTAACTTGTAAGATGAAGTTAATTTATACAGTAGCAGCTACTTTGGTGGGTTTCTGTGAGGCCCCAGTGAGACAAGGTCTGGAGAGCCCTTTGCAAACTTTAAATGACTATATACATGTGAACTACTTATTTCTCCCATCATACAGGGAACACAACTTGCATCTGAGCTGGAACTTAAACCTCAGTCTCTGCTGACCCCATCTCCCCATCTATAAAATGGGGACAATAATACTTGTACCTTCTACCTCACAAGGTTTTTGTTTACATTTGTAAACCCTCTAGAGCTAGAGAGATGTGAGCTGTTCTCATCTTGATTCCCTGTTCCCTTCCCTTTGCTGCCTTCTTCTGCCTTATACATGAGAGGCAACCTGGTCCAGTGGAAAGAGGCATGGCAGCTAGGGAGGTACAGTAGAGAGAGGCTATTGCCCCCTCCACTCTGTGATTGTCTATATTCTACAGTCCTTATCAGCTCTGACAGCCTGTATACTAGTTTTCTTTCTCTGAATTTTCTGTCTCTGACTTCAGTAGTTAGGATCAGATTTGACTCACAGAAGGTGTTTGGTAGGACCTCGTCTTTCCCTATTCTCGCAAATGACTGAGATAAAATTGGAAATAATTGCTGTTTAACTGTTCCATAGAATTCATTTATAAATCCATCTATTCCTTGGGTTCCCCCCTCCCCCGTATTTGGAAATTCATTTATCACTAGTTGCATTTCTTATACTATGATCAGATTATTTTAATTATCTTTTTTTCCTCTTCATCTGGTGTTTTATATTTTTGCAAATATTTATCCATTTATCAGATCTGTTGGACAAAATTGTGTATAATCATTTCCTTCATTTTATCCTCTTTCATTTGTGATCCTGGCATTGGAGTTTCCTTTTTAAAACAGAATCAAGTCACCCAATGATTCGGCTATTTTAGGAGTTTTTCTTTTTTTAAGCAGCCTCCCAGTTTCACCATTTCAGCTTTGACTCTATGCTGATTATCAGAATTTCTCATTTTTCACACTTGCTTCTTTCCCAGTAACTTTTGTGGCCCCCGGCCACGTTTATTCTTGCTCTTATCTTCCCGTCTTTTACAGCTGAAGGTGTTTAGAAAGACAAGGGGTACCCCCTACCTACCCTGGGGCTAGTTTTGGGGACTCCCAGGCCCCACCCTCCTCCCTCCCTCTTCTCTCATCCTGGACCCGCCTCCTGGGGGAGGGCAGATTGGGGCATAGCCCCGCCCACTCTGGGCCAGAGCTCCGCCTCCGGATCTTAAATCACAGGCGGTGCCCCCCACCCCCCCTTCCCACACTGCACCTGTCGGAGTCACCAGGGTCTGTTTCAGGGGCTTGTTGCGTCACTGGGCCTGTGTTCCGCCCCTTCCTCACCCAGGCCCGCCTGAGAGAAACCGGGGCCTCTGCCCTGCTGACTGAGCCTAGGCCGTGCCTGAGAACTGAGGGAAACAGGGCCTTGGCCCTCTCTGGCCCAGCCAGGGGTCACAAGGGGAACCCCCGTCCCCGAAGAGGCCACAGGGCCCTCCCTCTTCAGCATCCTGGAGTTAGCCCCGCCCTCTCCATGGTTGCTATTTGGGTTCCATTGGTGGAGGTAAGCCCCGCCTCCGGATGTGACATCACATCACGGGGGCCTAGCGGTTCTCTTGGTCCCTCCGATCCTGGGGGTACAGAGCGCATTGGGGAGCGGAGCCCCGCCATCCCTCGTTTCCCGACTGTCCCCTGTTTTTATCTCCGCCTCCCAGGGCGCCCCGCTTCCCGGGACGTCGTCGGGCAGACCCGGTCCCAGCCCCCCTCTTCTCCTCCTCATTTTCCCCTCCCCCACCCCATCTCCCCAACCCCCCGAGAAAAACAAACCCCTGTTAAACAAGGAGGCGTCCTCAGCTCCCCCTCGGCTGAGTCTGCCAACGCCCTGCCTCCTTCCCCTCCCGAGTCCGTCCCCTCGGTGTCCCCTGGGAGGGCATGGCCTTCCTGGGCCCCTGCAGGGACCCGGCCTGAAGTCTGTCAGTGGGGCACAGACCCGCCCTTTTAGGGGTCCCTGCCTCTCCCTGGGGGTCCCCTCTCCCAGGGACCTGGGTGCGGGAAGAATGTGTCTTTGTGGGGGCCTGGTTTGCACCCCCCCATCTCAGACCCCTGAAGAGGGACAAGGGACAGTTCCCACCCAGGACTGTCACCCATGTACCTGGCTCTTGCAGGCCGATGTTTACAAAGTTTTAGGAAATTAAGTTTAAAAGTCTATAACCAGAACAATAACAGAAGCCTCACAGTAAGTACCCAGGGTCCAGAAAGACAGATTCTGCTGTGGATGAAATCCAGATGTGTATTTCTTTCTGGATTTTAATCTATAGATTCTATCACAAGAGCCGTGAGTGGCTGACATGATTCATCTTCAGTCCTCTGAATTTAAGATTTATCATTGCATTAATTAGAATTCCAATAGCTTTCAATATCTTTTTTTTCCTGTTAATGTTGTTGTGTAAATTGTGCTAGTTCTGCTTACTTCACTCTTCATCACAATATAGTTGTCTGCCCATTTTCCTCTGGAACTGTCCATTTTATCATGTCTTATGGCAAAATAATATTCCATGATATTCTTTTGCAACAATTTGTTTACACCTTCCGTATTAGGTGACCACCTCCTTAATTTCTAGTTTGGGGTTACTATGAAAAGAAGTTCTCTAAATAATTTGCATATATGATGACTTCTTTTGCAATAGGCCTGGTATTGGTGTTGTTGGTTCAAAATATACTCAGGGACTAGCTAGGTCTTGAAGGAAACCAGGGGACACAGGAGGTGGAGATGAGGAAGGAGACCATGGTAGGTATGGGGGACAGCTAATGAAAATGCCTGGAGTCTGGAGATGGAGCGTCTTGTTCAAGAAACAGCAAGGAGGATGGTGTGACTCGGTATAAGAAGACAGAAAGGTAAGAAGGGGGTGAGGTTCTGAAGGGCTTTCTATGCCAAACCAGGGCATCCCATAAACATGGAGAGAAGACAATAACAAGGAGAAGAGGGAGATCAACAGGGTCAAAGGCTACAGGTCCAGAAGGATGAGGATTGAGAAAAGGCCAATCAATCTAGTAATTAAGAGATGGTTAGTGCCTTTAGAGGGAGCAGTTTCAGTTGAATGATGAAGTAGGAAACCAGAGGAAAAGAAGTGGAGGCGCCTATTGCAGGTGACTTTCTCCAGGAGTTTAGCTGCAAAAGATAGGAGAGCTAAGGGATAGATGATCAAGGGAGGTTCTTTGAGGATGGGGGACCCATGAGCATGCTTGTAGTCCACAGGGAAGCAGCCAGTAGACAAGGAGAGATTGGAAATTATGAATGTGGGTATAATAAGAAGGGCAGTCTGCTGGATGATAGGATGAGATGAGATCCCTTGTGCATGCAGAGGGGTTTGCCTTGGTGAGGAGAAGGGCGCCTTATTATGCGAGACTGGAGTGAAGGAGGAGATAGTGGCAGAAGGCATGTGGGTGATGTGGGATGAGGAGGAGAGGAGGGAGCTCTCAGCAAATAGCCTCAATGTTTTTAGTAAACACTAAGGCAAGGTTCTCAGCTGACAGGGTACAGTAAGGGCAACTGTGGGAGGTTTGAGGAGAGATGAAAAAGTTTATAATAGCTTTTGTGGTGAATGGGATCAGGAGTTCATTAGGGAGTTATCAAAAGGATTGCCTCACTGCAGGGGGAGCCCAGTTGAGGTTATGTAACATAAAATCACAGAGAACTCAGTCATCATCATTTCCTGATTTTCTCCAGCTTCACTTGGCAGCATGTGTGAAGGAATGAAGGTAGCAGATGGTGGGAATGATCCAAGGCGGAGGCTTGGCTGGGCAAGATCAGGAAGGACACAAGAAACTCGAGAAAGGAGGCTGGTTTAGAGTTGAACTAGTTCACCAAGGAGTCATGATAGAGAAGGGAGGAGAGTGTAGCTAATGCAGGTGAGATGGCCTGGGAAAGAACTGAGGGGTTTAAGGGTTGGGGTTCTGATGCATTTGGGGCTGCAAGACAGGGAGAAGTAGAATGACAGCAGGTTCTAATCAGATAAGGACATTTCATAGTTCTTGAACATGGAAGTGTCTTTATTTGTGGGTGATGGTAAGATCCAGGTATGACCTTTTGTGTGGCTGAGATAGGGTAGCAGGCCATGTGAAATGAGTAAACTGAGGAAATCTGTGAGGTAAGGGTGTTGGAGAGACTATCGACATGTATGTTGAAGTCCCCTAATATGAGGGCAGGAGTTGGGGAGACGAGAAAGACCGTGAGCCAGATACTGTGCACATAAAGGAAAGACGGGCAGTATCCTAGAGGCCTGTAGGTAACAAGTACCATATTTTTGATTGCGTGATCATCAGAGGAGAAGCTATTGAGTGATGATGAAGAAGTAGAGCCTGGAAGTGACAGTGGAAAGCAAGGAGTATTCTGACTTTATATTTGGAGCTCAGTTCCTTCTCTGCCCAGTCATTCCTTTAAGTCCTTCAATGAGTCCATGGGATCACAGGACCCTAGATCTAGAGCTGGAAGAGACGACCTCAGAGGCCATCTCCTTCCATCCCCCTCATTTCACAGAGGGGAAACTGAAAACCACAGGGGTCAAGTGACTTGTCTGACTGAGAGTGTACAGCTTGTACGTGTCTGAGGCAGGATTTGAACCTGGGTTTTGCTGACTTAAAATTCAGTGCTGTATCCCCTAGATCCTGCTGCCTTCCATTCTCTCATCTCACTAAGTTATTCTCAACTCTCTAGAAATTCTAAGACTAAAGGCATAAAAAAGGGTTTGGGTTTTTTGATGTTAAAGGAAAAATACCTTCCCCTAAATGGAAAGGTTCCTCTACTAAGCACTCATTAGGTCCTTATTGGCCTGAACAGAATTCTTTGGCTTCCTATCTGCACAATACTCTATACTGAAGGTGTCACTTCCTTTACTTCAGCTTTGCCTCTTGCTGATCCGAGAGGTTTGAAAGGATTTATACAGCAGCTTGAGTTATGAGTTAGTAACAGATGCAAAAATCACCATTTCAGAACCAAAGATGATATAAATCTCCTGTAGGCATCCTGTCATGGAAACAACTGAATCCAGTAATGCTCACTTATGCATCAGAGGTGGCCTAAGGTGACATAGTAGCTCTACCACTCTGTGGTTCTTAGAAAAACGTTCTGTCTACCAGAGTCTGATGGGAATGCATCATCTTCTTACCTAGCTCCACATATCTGAGGATTACCATAGGCATCAGTGCATCAAGTATTGTCATCAAAGAACAAAAAGACAGACTGTATAAAACCTGGGTCTGGGGTGATCGCTTCCCAGAAAAGCTCCTTATTTCTATAGCTGTTGTGCTAATGAAGCAGAATAATGGAACACCTGAGCACAGTTGCCCTTTGCCGTCAGGTGACCAATCTCAGAACACCATAGAGCCATTGAAAGTGAATCTGCTATGCTTAGAAAAGAGCTGGTGTGAATTTTTTTCCCACTTAATAGTATTTTATTTTTTCCAGTTATAAGTAAAGATGGTTGTCAACTTACACTTTTATAAGATTTTGAGTTCCAATTTTTTTCACACTCTCTCCTTCCCCTCCCCATTCCCCAAGACAGCAAGCAATCTGATATGGATTATTCCCAATCATATTAAACATTTTTCCACATTAGTCATGTTGTGAAAGAAGAATCAGAACAAAAGGGGGAAAACCATGAGAAATAAAAAACAAAAAAAAAGTAAAAATAGTATGCTTTGATCAGCATTCAGACTCCATAGTTCTTTCTCCGGATGTGGATAGCATTTTCCATCATGAGTCTTTTGGCATTGTCTTAGAAGACTGTGTTGCTGAGAAGAGCTAACAAGTAATTCCATTACTATAGAAACTATTTGGAAAAATACGTGAAGAAGTCCTACCGAATTCTTTTTATGACTCAAATATGGTGCTGATACCTAAACCAGAAAGAGCCAAAACAGAGAAAGAAAATTATAGACCAATTTCCCTAATGAATATTGATGCAAAAGTTTTAAATAAAATATTAGCAGAGAGATTACAGCAATTTGTCACCAGGATAATACACTATGACCAGGTGAGATTTATACCAGGAATGCAGAGCTGTTTTGGTATTAGGAAAACTATGAGCATAATTGACCACATCAATAACAAAACTTACAGAAATCATATGATTAGCTCAATAGATGCAGAAAAAGCTTTTGACAAAATGCAGCACCCATTCCTAGGAAAAACACTAGAGAGCATAGGAATAAATGGAATTTTCCTTAAAATGATTAAGTAGCATCTAGATAAAACTATGAGCAAGCATTATATGTAATGGGGATAAGCTAGAAGCTTTCCCAGTGAGATCAGGGGTGAAACAAGGGTGCCCATTATCACCACTATTTTTCAGTATTGTGCTAGAAATGTTAGCTTTACCAATAAGAAAAGAAAAAGAAATTGGAAAAAGCAATAAGGAACCAAAACTATCACTCTTTGCAGATGATATGATGGTATACTTAGAGAGTCCTTGAGAATTAACTAAAAAACTACTTGAAATACTTAACAACTTTAGCAAAGTTGTAGGATATAAACTAAACCCATATAGGTCATCAGCGTATCTCTAT